TGCATTGCCTTCCATTTGCCCAAAACGGGTTTCTCTCAAATTCCTTGCCTACTTGGTGTAATGACGTGTCGAGAATATGAGGGCCGTTTGGGCGTAATGAGTTGGTGCCTACCAACCTATCTCTGGTGTACATTAGTCTGCGCTAATGAACACATTAGCGAATTAGCCCTGTGTAATTCCTTCCAACCTTAATTGAAGTTTTGGAGAAAATACAAATATCATTAGGAATGGGTGTGTCGGGAGTTAATACTGCTCTAGGTTATCCTAGGTTGTCATGGCAGTTATAATCCCAACGCTTTAATTCATCGTTTGCCTTGACTACATACATATTAACGTTTAATAGACCTTCCGTTTCAATAAATCATCCCAATACATGAAAAGCTGGGTCGCTTGGAGAGGATTTGTGATGAAGGGCTTATGTTTTTGACAAGACTTAGCATGGCAGACATAGCGTTGCTGAATGCATTTGCACCCTGGAGTAACACAGACTGGGCTTGATCTGCATTCAAAACAATCATGGAAGCTGCCGTTTTGTGGATTTCAGAGCTGGGAGGGATTTTTCAGACTCTGATCCATTAGTTACTTAGGCGATCCCTCTTAGCTCGAGGATGTGGTGTCTTGGCGGTGGAGCCCTATTCTTGGTCCACATGTTCTTTCACAGTGAGGACATTGGTTTCCAGATGGAAGGCAGTCCTGGTAAGGGTTGATTTGATGTGCCTTCCTCTTGGCAAGTTCCTCCTTTTCACCCTCCATTCGTGCCTCTTAGAATTCTGCAGCACTGCTGGTCACAGCTGACCTCCAGTTAGTGCACTTAAGGGCCAGGGCTTCCCAGTTCTTTCTCAATGTCTATGCAACTGTTTTTGAAGTTGGCTTTAAGCCCATAGAATCATAGAATCATAGAATCAAAGAGCTGGAAGAGACCTCATGGGCCATCCAGTCCAACCCCCTGCCAAGAAGCAGGATATTTTGCATTCAAATCACCCCTGACAGATGGCCATCCAGCCTCTGTTTAAAAGCTTCCAAAGAAGGAGCCTCCACCACACTCCGGGGCAGAGAGTTCCACTGCTGAACGGCTCTCACAGTCAGGAAGTTCTTCCTCGTGTTCAGATGGAATCTCCTCTCTTGTAGTTTAAAGCCATTGTTCCGCGTCCTAGTCTCCAAGGAAGCAGAAAACAAGCTTGCTCCCTCCTCCCTGTGGCTTCCTCTCACATATTTATACATGGCTATCATATCTCCTCTCAGCCTTCTCTTCTTCAGGCTAAACATGCCCAGCTCCTTAAGCCGCTCCTCATAGGGCTTGTTCTCCAGACCCTTGATCATTTTAGTCGCCCTCCTCTGGACACATTCCAGCTTGTCAATATCTCTCTTCAATTGTGGTGCCCAGAATTGGACACAATATTCCAGGTGTGGTCTAACCAGAGTAGAATAGAGCATGGGTAGCATTACTTCCCTAGATCTAGACACTATGCTCCTCTTGATGCAGGCCAAAATCCCATTGCTTTTTTGCGCCACATCACATTGTTGGCTCATGTTTAACTTGTTGTCCACGAGGACTCCAAGATCTTTTTCACACGTACTGCTCTCAAGCCAGGTCCCCCATTCTGTATCTTTGCATTTCGTTTTTCCTGCCAAAGTGGAGTATCTTGCATTTGTCACTGTTGAACTTCATTTTGTTAGTTTTGTCCAATCATCTCTCTAATCCGTCAAGATCGTTTTGAGTCCTGCTCGTGTCCTCTGGTGTAGTGGCTCTCCCTCCCAATTTGATGTCATCTGCAAACTTGATGATCCTGCCTTCTAGCCCTTCATCTAAGTCATTAATAAAAATGTTGAACAGGACCAGGCCCAGGACGGAACCCTGCTTGTGGCACTCCGCTCGTCACTTCTTTCCAGGATGAAGAGGAAGCCTTGGTGAGAATCACCCTCTGGGTTCGTCCATTTAACCAATTACAGATCCACCTCACCGTAGTTTTGCCTAGCCCACATTGGACTAGTTTCCTTGCCAGAAGGTCATGGGGGACCTTGTCGAAGGCCTTCCTGAAATCCAGGTACGCTACATCCATGGCATTCCCCGCATCTACCCAGCTTGTAACACTATCAAAAAAAGAGATCAGATTAGTCTGGTATGACTTATTTTTGATAAATCCATGTGGCCGTGGAGCCCTATTCTTGATCCACATGTTCTTTCGCAGTGAGGACATTGGTTTCCAGGTGGAAGGCAGTCCTGATAAGGGTTGTTTTGATGTGCCTTCCTCTTGGCAAGTTCCTCCTTTTCGCCCTCCATTCATGCCTCTTAGAAAGGTGGAAGGCAGTCCTGATAAGGGTTGTTTTGATGTGCCTTCCTCTTGGCAAGTTCCTCCTTTTCGCCCTCCATTCATGCCTCTTAGAATTCTGCAGCACTGCTGGTCACAGCTGACCTCCAGTTAGAGTGCTCAAGGGCCAGGGCTTCCCAGTTCTTTCTCAATGTCTATGCCACAGTTTTTGACGTTGGCTTTTAACCCATCTTTTAATCTCTTTTCCTGTCCACTAATATTTTGTTTCCCGTTCTTGAGTTTGGAGTAGAGTAACTGCTTTGGGAGACGGTGATTTTGGGCATTCGGACAATGTGGCAAGTCTAGTGGAGTTGATGGTGGAGGAGCATCACTTCAGTGCTAGTGGTCTTTGCTTCTCCCAGCATGATGACATTTGCCCATCTGACTTCCAAAGAGATTTGCAGGATTTTTCAAAGGTAGCACTGATGGAATCATCCCAAGAGTTGCATATTATGTCTGTAGACAGTCTATGTTTCGCAAGCGTACAGCGGGTTGGAAGACAATGGCTTTATAAACAAGCACCTTGGTCTCCCTACGGATGTCTTGTTCCTCAAACACTCTCTTCTTCATTTGGAGGAATACTGCACTTGCAGAGCTCAGGTGGTGTTGTATTTGAGTGTCAATGTTGACTTTTGTGGAGAGATGGCAGCCAAGAAAGTGGACATTAGGACAATGTGGCACTCAGTCCAGCGGAGTTGATGATGGAGGACCATCGCTTACATGCTGGTGGTCTTTGCTTCTTCCAGCACATTGGCATTTGTCTGCTAGTCTTCCCAAGAGATTTGTAGGTTTTTTAGGAGGCAATGCTGATGGAATCGTTCCAGGAGTTGAGTGTGATATCTGTAGACAGTCCATGTTTTGCAGGCGTATAACAGAACTGGGAGGACAATGGCTTTATAAACAAGCACCTTGGTCTCCCTATGGATGTCCCGATCCTCAAACACTCTCTGCTTCATTTGGAAAAATGCTGCACTTGCAGAGCTCAGGCGATGTTTTATTTCGGTGTCAGTGATGACTTTTGTGGAGAGGTGGCAGCCAAGGGAGTGGAAATGATCGACATTTTCTAATGTTACACCATTAAGCTGTATTTCTGGCATTGGAGGGGGATTGGCTTGTGCCAGCTGGAAGAGCACTTTGGTTTTCTCAATGTCCAATGAGAGGCTGAGCCCTTTGGGGCAGAGGAAGGAAATGTGATTGGATGTAAATTCACAGAATTGCCAAATTTTATGATACCTTGCTATGCATCTGTAGGGACACCAACTGAGGACAGAAGGATGGGCTGCCTTCTTTGTAAGGGAACTTCTCAAACTATAGAGAGGAAACACTAGGTTCTTGTGGGTTTTTTCGGGCTATAGGGCCATGTTCTAGAGGCATTTCTCCTGACGTTTCGCCTGCATCTATGGCAAGCATCCTCAGAGGTAGTGAGGTCTGTTGGAATTAGGACAATGGGTTTATATATCTGTGGAATGGCTGGGGTGGGGCAAAGAGCTCTTCTCTGCTAGAGCTAGGTGTGAATGTTTCAACTGACCACCTTCATTAGCATTTGAAGGCCTGCCTGAGCCTGGGAAAATCTCTTGCTGAAAGGTGTTAAGATGTGCCTGGTTGTTTCCTCTCTGTTGTTTTGCTGTTGTAATTTTAGAGTTTTTTAATACTGGTAGCCAGATTTTGTTCATTTTCATGGTTTCCTCCTTTCTGTTGAAATTGTCCACATGCTTGTGGATTTCAATGGCTTCTCTGTGTAGTCTGACATGGTGGTTGTTATCAAGGAACATGAAAGGCACTGCAGACTACTTCAACCAGAGAAGTCAGCCATAGCAGAGCACCTGATGAACCAGCCTGAACACAGCATATTATTTGAGAACACAGAAATGCTGGACCACACCAACAACCACCATGTCAGACTACACAGAGAAGCCATTGAAATCCACAAGCATGTGGACAATTTCAACAGAAAGGAAGAGACCATGAAAATGAACAAAATCTGGCTACCAGTATTAAAAAAAAACTCTAAAATTACAACTAGCAAAACAGCAGAAGGAAAACAATCAGGGACATATAATCATCTCTCAACAAAAGATTGCTCCAGGCACTTCCAGGCTATCAAATGCTAATCAAGGTGGCCAGTTGAAACATTCACACCTAGCTCCAGCAGACAAGAGTCCTTTGTCCCACCCTGGTCATTCCACAGATATATAAACCCTTTTTCCTAGTTCCAACAGACCTCACTACCTCTGAGGATGCTTGCCATAGATGCAGGCAAAACGTCAGGAGAAATGCCTCTAGAACATGGCCCTATAGCCCGAAAAAACCCACAAGAACCTAGTGATTCCAGCCATGAAAGCCTTCGACAATATATAGAGAGGAAACATTGAGAAACACCAGGCAGGGCAATTCCCAGACCAATCTAGACTCTCCATGGCAGAGCATGAAAGGGTACATTAAACCAAATTAATGAACATCTCCTTGGTCTCTGGTGGACCTACTTACCTACTTAAGCTCAGCGCTCACAGATGGGTAACATTATTATTTCATACTCTGTCTGAAACGGTGCAGCTATTATGCTACATAGTCTCCATGTCGTTCGGAGAAGAAATTTTTCTAACAGCGTTGAACAGAGTTGGTGGCCTCGATACACACTTCACAGGAGAAACCTAGCTAACTGCCATGTACTTTGTAAAAAGGGAAAGGTACACGATCCGGAAACCATGAGGAGCTGGGGATGTTTAGCCTGAAAAAGGAAAGGTTGAGAGGGGACATGAGAACCAGGCTTAAATATTTGAAAGGATGGCAGATGGAAGAGAGAACAGGCTTACGTTCTGATCCTCCAAAGACAAGGACGTAGGTAAAGGTAAAGGTTTTCCCCTGACATTAAGTCCAGTCGTGTCTGACTCTGGAGGTTGGTAATCTCCATTTCTAAGCCAAAGAGCCGGCGTTGTCTGTAGACACCTCTCCACCAAAGTCAACATCGACACCGAAATACAACACTGCCTGAGCTCTGCAAGTGCAGCATTTTTCCAAATGAAGCAGAGAGTGTTTGAGGACCGGGACATCTGTAGAGATCCCAAGGTGCTTGTTTATAAAGCTATTGCCCTCCCAACCCTCTCATATGCCTGCAAAACGTGGATGATGATGATGATGATGATGATGATGATTACTAGCGGTACCTGCCACACGTTGCTGTGGTCAATCTTCCCTCCCTCTTTCTCTTCTTCTTTCCCTCCTTCCCCTGCTCCCTCTTTCCTTCCTTCCCCTTTTTCTTTTCCTTCCTTTTTCTCTCCTTTTTTCCTTTGCTTTTTCCTTCCATCCTTCCATCTCTCTTTCCTTCTTTCATTCCCTTCTTCTTTCTCTCCTTTCTTCCATCTCTACCTCTTCCTTCCTTCCTTCACTTTCTGTTTCCATCCTTCCTTCTCTCTTTCCTTCTTTCCTTCCCTCCCTCTTTCTCTCCTTCTTTCCCTCCTTCCTTCGCTCCCTTCCCTTTTCTCCTTGCTTTCTTCTCTACCTCTTTCCTTCCTTCTCCCTTTTTCTTTTCCTTCCTCTTTCTCTCCTTCCTTCCTTTGCTTTTTGCTTCCATCCTTCCTTCTCTCTTTCCTTCTTTCCTTACCTCCTTCTTTCTCTACTTCTTTCCCTCCTTCCTTTGCTCCCTTTCTTTCCTTCTCTCCTTCCTTCCTTCTCTACCTCTTTCCTTCCTCCTCCCTTTTTCTTTTCCTTCCTCTTTCTCTCCTTCCTTCCTTCTGTACCTCTTTCCTTCCTTCCTTCCTTCCTTCGCTCTTTGCTTCCTTCTTTCTCTCCTTCTTTCCCTCCTTCCTTCGCTCCCTTTCCTTCCCTTTTCTCCTTGCTTTCTTCTCTACCTCTTTCCTTCCTTCTCCCTTTATCTTTTCCTTCCTCTTTCTCTCCTTCCTTCCTTTGCTTTTTGCTTCCATTCTTCCTTCTCTCTTTCCTTCTTTCCTTACCTCGTTCTTTCTCTCCTTCTTTCCCTCCTTCCTTCGCTCCCTTTCCTTCCCTTTTCTCCTTGCTGTCTTCTCTACCTTTCTTCCTTCTCCCTTTTTCTTTTCCTTCCTCTTTCTCTCCTTCCTTCCTTCCTTTCTGCCTTCCCCCTTTCCTTCTCTCTTTCCTTCTTCCTTCCCTCCCTCTTTCCTCCTTCTTTCCCTCCTTCCTTCGCTCCCTTTCCTTCCCTTTTCTCCTTGCTTTCTTCTCTACCTCTTTCCTTCCTTCTCCCTTTATCTTTTCCTTCCTCTTTCTCTCCTTCCTTCCTTTGCTTTTTGCTTCCATTCTTCCTTCTCTCTTTCCTTCTTTCCTTACCTCGTTCTTTCTCTCCTTCTTTCCCTCCTTCCTTCGCTCCCTTTCCTTCCCTTTTCTCCTTGCTGTCTTCTCTACCTTTCTTCCTTCTCCCTTTTTCTTTTCCTTCCTCTTTCTCTCCTTCCTTCCTTCACTTTCTGCTTCCCCTTCCTTCTCTCTTTCTTCTTTCCTTCCCTCCCTCTTTCTCTCCTTCTTTCCCTCCTTCCTTCGCTCCCTTTCCTTCCCTTTTCTCCTTGCTTTCTTCTCTACCTCTTTCCTTCCTTCTTCCTTTTTCTTCTCCTTCCTCTTTCTCTCTTTCCTTCCTTTGCTTTTTGCTTCCATGCTTCCTTCTCTCTTTCCTCCTTTCCCTCCTTCTTTCTCTCTCTCTCTCTTTCTTTCTCCCCTTCCTTCCTTCCCTCTTCCTTGCCTTTTTTCTGTATCCTCATTTAGCTTTTTGTCATTTAGCTTTTTGGGTTTTTGGGTCATTTCCACTGGTTTTTTGTTGCTGTGGTTTTATGAGTGATGGTGTCAATTCCCCCAGTGGTTTTTGAGTTCTGATAATCCCACAAACGAATATTTATTTATTTACTTATTTACAGTATTTATATTCCGCCCTTCTCACCCCTCGGGGGACTCAGGGCGGATTACAATGTACATATACATGGCAAACATTCAATGCCATAGACACACAACAAATATAGACAGACACAGAGGCTATTTAACATTCCAGCTTTTTCATGAGGGTATTCTGGCCACCAGGGGAGCTGTCGCTTCACCGTCCATTTGTGACACTGATGAAATACTTCCTCATTCTTTGCATGCTTGCTGGAGTTTTTTATGGCCTCATAAATCAGTTAAATTAGCCTCCCCACAAAGTGGTACCTAAATTTCCTATTTGACAGATGCAACTGTCTTTCGGGCTGCAAAGGTCGACAACAAGCTACACAATTTTGGTCAGAAGCTCACTCCAACCCAGGCTGGCTTTAACATTTGACACTGATGAAGTACTTTCCGCATTCCCTGCATGCTTTTTGCTGGAGATTTTTATAGCCTCGTAAATTTGTTAAATTAGCCTCCCCATACATAGGTGATATCTAAATTTCCTACTTGACAGATGCAACTGTCTTTCAGGTTGCAAAAGTCGACAACAAGCTACACAAATTGCCGGAAGCTCACTCTACCCTGGGCTGGCTTCGAACTCATGACCTTTCGGTCAGTAGTGATCTTAATGTAGCTGACACCCAGCCAGCTGTGCCTTTTTTTGGTGTATAAGTCTATGATATTATTATCTGGAATAACCAAAGCCTTCTCCATACCTGCATAAAGAAAATGGAGAGGGAAAGAAAAATGGCCAAGGTAGGAAAGTACCGTATATACTCGACTATAAGCTGGGTTTTTCAGCCTTCCTCGGCAGCAGCGGTAAAAGCACACACAGGGCATGGGAGGGGAGAAAAGTGCGCACCTTTCCCTTCTCTCTTGCACGTCTTTCCTGCCTCCGCCGCCGAAGAAGGTGCGTGCGCGGCAAGAGAGGAAGGGGAGCGGCGTGCACTTTTCCCTCCCTCCTCGCGCCATGCACGGCTTTTCTGCTTCCTCCCGCCGCTGCAAACTTGACATGAATACTCAGTACACCCAAATGTGAGCACTGGCGAATTTTGGGGGAAATAGACCTTGACATTTGGGAGTTGAAGTTGCTGGGATTTGTAGTCCACGTACAATCAAACAGCATTCTGAACCCCAGTAACGATAGAATTAGGCCAAACTTCCCACATAGAACTCTTATGCCTTGAGGGAACTCAGTGGCGTGAGCCTCCCTCCAGCCTCGCATGCTCTCCCTCATCTCGCATGCTCTCCCTCGCTTGCCTGCACATGCGCACCATGCTGTCATGCACCAAGCATGTCTGCTCTCCCCTCCCCACTTGGGACTCTCAGAAACAACCCTTCCCTTGACTGAGAGGCCAGCCAATCACAGAGGAGAAGGAGGGCTTTTGGCTTTGCTGTCTGTTTCCAAAAAAAGGGAAGAGAAGGACAAGTGGAGAGATCTTCAGCCTTCTCTGACAAAGGGAGTGTCTAAGACCATCAGAAATATATGTTTTCTGATGGTCTTGATATCGAGCTACTTTTTGGAGGGGCCTCCCTGAGAGAGAGAGATCCCTGAGGACTGCACCAAAGAGAGTCCTTAATAAACCTTGGTGAGGCCAGAGAAAGCCAATTTCAGCGATAAAAATATTAATATTTAAAATAATAAATCCTCACCAAAGTGGAAGAAGTTTTTCAAGCGACCGAGGTGTTTTATTAGCGATTCAGCTGATATCGGATGCATTGCAGGAATCATTCCACCACAAGCATGCAGGAGCACAGTGATGCAGGCATATTTATACAATTTTTGAAAACCCAGAGTTCAAACTTCCCGCCCCGGCTCCTCTGACATTCCCCGCTGTGATTGGGCAACAGGGCGAGCAGCTGGGGAGGAGCCTCCCATCCCCTGGGCTCCTGGACCAATCAGGGAGCTTCAGGGGCGTGCTGGATCCAAGGGGGAGGGCTCCTGTTGCCCGCCGGCCAGCGAATCAGAAGAGGGGAGGCGGGACGACAGAACACAAAGAGAGTTCATGAATGGGTCAATGGAAACTGGCCATGTGCTCAGCGAAACAAAGGAAAAATGTCTCCAGCCGATGCAGCTTATTGTCCTTTGAGTGGTGCAAATCACCATATATGAGGAAGTCCGGTTGTTTTCCAGGCTGGCAAACAGGGCGTTTGTGGAGATGAGACTGATACAATTGTGTTGTCGTGAAGGTGCAATTGAGTAAATCAAGGGGAGGGCAAAAGGGAACTCTTTGTCCTCCTGGTAGGAAAATGATATTTCTGCTAAAGGGCAAGCTGAAATGCCTGGGCTATCCTCCGAGGGGCAAAACAGCTGGCCGGATCTATTATCCATGCAAAGGGAAATGATTGATAAACATTCTGAATGATTTGCAGCTCAATAGCTCTTTTCTGGTGGGATTTCTTCATGGGTTTGAGGGGAAACAAAGGCCAGGAGGAGGGAAAGGGGTTCTGGCCATGAAAGGACCAGAAATATAATTGTTATACATATAAAAAACCCAAAAGGTAGGGCTGGGCGGTTTCGTTTCGTTAATTCGTAATTCGTTAATAATTCGTTAATTTTTTCAATTACAAAACGATAACGAACCATTCTGGAGCAATTATTAAAAAAAACGAATTTTCCAAAACGTTTTGTAAATGCTTCGTATTTCGATATTGTATTCGTTTTGTTATTGTTTTGAGGTCGTTTCGTTATTATTTCCGCATGTCTGGGCCAGTTTTATGGTTTAACTAGTGAAAAAAAATTATAATATCACACCAACAGTCAACAACAGAGGGAGATGGAAGCTTCAGAAGGTTTTGGAGGTTTTTTAGCGTATTTCGCGGTCGCGTCCGCCATTAACGAATCGATTCGTTATTGTTTCGGAAATCGATTCGTTAATTTTTTTACCATTTACGAAATTTCGTAAATATCGAACTTTTTAAAAGGAAAATTTTGTAATTATTTTAAATATCGAAACAAAAAAAAACCCCAAATACAAATCGATTTTAGAAACAAATTTTTTCCGTTGTTACCCAGGCCTACCAAAAGGATAGAATTTTATAAAGGTAATCCATGCAGGGGACAGAAAGGAGTTCATAGTAAATGGCAAATCCGTAAGAATCAAATGATAAATCCACAAAAGTATTGTCCCTAGGTTCATAAGAGACTTTCAGGAAGGTTCCCAGGAGCCCTGCGCTCCTGCTGGCCCAATGCTGCCCTTGTCCTTAGAGAACTATAAGTCACTATCCCTTATTGGGGGGGGGGGCTCGACATCAGTCTTTGGTGACCCCTTTGAAACCACCTCACCACCTCCTCTGGAGTCCCAACCCCCAGGTTGAGAAATGCAGGTCTATGGGGTCCTTTCCAACTCTGTGCTTCTTCTATTTCACAACATCATATGGTTTGCAAGTGTTATGACTTGCAGGGATTCGAAGGGTCATTGATGTGAGTTCATGGAGAAAAAAACATACTTCCGAGTCCTCCTTCAACCAGATCGAAATGGCTCTCAAGAAGAGCTAAAACTCACTCTTGTCTTTCTGGCACAAATAGTTTACCCATTAACTTTAATTAGAGTCCTGGTAATGAAGGATCATACCCTTCGTATCTCATTACTGAAACACACTCGGATTGCCAAAACGACAGGGAAGGCCTTTAAGGGAGTTTCCCAATTTAAATTAAAATCGGGAACGACTTAGAAATGGGCTGTTTAGGAGCCCTTTGATGAAAAAATAATCTTTCGGAGACGAGCTCTGGCAACCGGCCTGTCAGGAATGTCTTAACCTTGAAAGCTGCTAATTAAAACCTATATTGGTACGGGCCGTTTGCTGCAGCTCAATCCTGCGAACCCAATTCCCTGCAAAATCGCCCATTCATTTGCAACCGGGCTTGCACGATTGGATTACTTTGTATTGGCTTCCGGAGAATTTGAGTTTAATCCAAGGCATCCTTGCATTCCCTGTGATAACAGAGTTGTCCAATGCCTCGGATACAAGTTCACAATTCTGCGCAAACACCTGTCACGTTCAAAAGAGTTTTGAAGCAGACTTACAGGAACCCAATTTGCCTTCGAACATTTTCAAGCACTAAATAAAAATGCTGATGGTGTGATCGAAGGTGACCCCCCGCCCCCAGGACTCTGACAATTCAAAATCAGGGAATTCATAGTTTTGCCAAGGAAATCAGACTGGAATTATTTATTTATTTTTTTACAGTATTTATTAGGCTTGGTTGATCAAGAAAAAAAAAGGTTCTTAACTTGTTTTGTACATAGGGGGTGCTGGCGGTTCGATTTTGAAATTATTTCCGAAATTTTCTTGAAAAAAAGATCGGAAATACCAGCAAATACGAATCGCTTCCTTTGTTTCGTTAATGGAAGGTGCCCCTCCCTCCCTCCAGAACCATTCAAATCTCGCAGTTTCCTTTCCTTCCCTTGCCGTGAGCTTCCATGCAGAAGGGAGAGGTGGGCGTGGCCAAGCACAGCCCTCCTTGGAGGTCGCTGGGGGCGTGGCCTTCAGGAACAGCTGTTCTTACCCACCCCCACCTCCTTCCTCTTTGCATCGGTGGCTTTGCGAGGTGGGCGTGGCTACACCTAGCTCTTCCGCATCGCCGCTTGTCGCCAGGGAGGTAGCCACGCCCACCTCGCAAAGCCCACCTCACAAAGTCACCGATGCAAAGAGGAAGGAGGTGGGCGTGGGTAAGAACAGCTGTTCCTGAAGGCCACGCCCCCAGAATTTACGATTCACTGCCGGAAGTCGTAACTCTCTGCCCCGGAGTGTGGTGGAGGCTCCTTCTTTGGAAGCTTTTAAACAGAGGCTGGATGGCCGTCTGTCGGGGGTGATTTGAATGTAATGTTTCTGCTACGTGGCAGAATGGGGTTGGACTGGATGGCCCATGAGGTCTCTTCCAACTCTTTGATTATATGATTCTATGATCCTTTCCAGCAAAGAATCACCATAGTTTTGCCTAGTCCACATTGGACTAGTTTCCTTGCCAGAAGGTCATGGGGGACCTTGTCAAAGGCCTTACTGAAATCCTGGATGTAGCGTACCTGGATTTCAGTAAGGCCTTTGACAAGGTCCCTCATGACCTTCTGGCAAGGAAACTAGTCCAATGTGGGCTAGGCAAAACTATGGTGAGGTGGATCTGGAATTGGTTAAATGGACGAACCAGAGGGTGCTCACTAATGCTTCCTCTTCATCCTGGAAAGAAGTGACGAGTGGAGTGCCATCAGCAGGGTTCCGTCCTGGGCCCGGTCCTGTTCAACATCTTTATTAATGACTTAGATGAAGGGCTAGAAGGCAGGATCATCAAGTTTGCAGACGACACCAAATTGGGAGGGATAGCCAATACTCCAGAGGACATGAGCAGGATTCAAAACGATCTTGACAGATTAGAGAGATGGGCCAAAACTAACAAAATGAAGTTCAACAGTGACAAATGCAAGATACTCCACTTTGGCAGAAAAACGAAATGCAAAGATACAGAATGGGGATGCCTGGCTCGAGAGCAGTACGTGTGAAAAAGATCTTGAAGTCCTCGTGGACAACAAGTTAAACATGAGCCAACAATGTGATGTGGCGGCAAAAAAAGCCAATGGGATTTTGGCCTGCATCAAGAGGAGCCTAGTGTCTAGATCCAGGGAAGTCATGCTCCCCATGCTCTATTCCGCTTTGGTTAGACCACACCTGGAATATTGTGTCCAATTCTGGGCACCACAATTCAAGAGAGATATTGACAAGCTGGAATGTGTCCAGAGGAGGGCGACTAAAATGATCAAGGGTCTGGAGAACAAGCCCTATGAGGAGCGGCTTAAGGAGCTGGCCATGTTTAGCCTGAAGAAGAGAAGGCTGAGAGGAGATATGATAGCCATGTATAAATATGTGAGAGGAAGCCACAGGGAGGAGGGAGCAAGCTTGTTTTCTGCTTCCTTGGAGACTAGGACGCGGAACAATGGCTTCAAACTACAAGAGAGGAGATTCCATCTGAACAATAG